CAGGAGACTCGCTTGAGCCCAGGAGTTGGAGGTTGCTGTGAGCTGTAATGCCACGGCACTCTACCCAGGGGGACAGCTTGAGGCTCTGTCTTAAATAAATAAATAAAGCTAGGAGATATGCTAACCAGCACTCTTCTTATAAGAGGGTCTTTGTTGGGGGTAATTGTTACTGACAGTCTTTTATTTCTAATAATTTTGTTTCATTTAACTATTTATGACTGGATTAGTAGATCGAAAAAAACCTGAAAATTCAGTGCCTGGTGGAAAGAAAAATGAAGCAGATAACAGAAGTTTAACCTTTTAAAAAAGCCTTTATAACATACTCAAATAGATTTTTTTTAAAGATACTACATCTGTAGAAAAGGAATAGACTACTGTGAAAAAGGAATAATTAGGGAACAGGAAGTAGAAAAAAATATTTTAAACAAAAAGAAAATGTAAAAATAAGGAAATTAAAGTGTCTATCCAGAAGTTCTAATATCCTTATTTAGAAAGTTAAGAGATAAAAGAGACAAGAGGAAAAAAATCAAAGTAGTACTTTGGTTCCTGATTTAAAGAATCCCCTGAATGCCAAATATAACAAATGAAAACATCCCTAAACCAAGATACACCATTGTAAAAATGTTAGAACACTTAAAATAACAAGATTCTGAAAGCTTCCTCAGATGAAGAAAATAAAAGATGTATGTGGGAGTGAATCACATTCAGTTTGACTTACATCTGACTACTCAGTGGTAACATCAAAAGCTGGAGGACAATGGAACATTGTATTCCAACTTCTGAAGGAAAACAAGCCCAATTTAGAATTCTATACCCAACCAAACATCAATCAAATGGAAGAGAAAAAGAGCACATTTTAATACATACTTTGAAAGCTTAGCATGTACTTCCCATGTACCCTTTCTTAGAAAGCCCTGGAGGAATGCTCCACCCAAATTAAGAAGTAATCTTAGAAATAAAGAGATGCAGGATTCAGGAAACTAGGAATTCAACATGACAAAGAGGAAACTCTAAGAGGACGCCAGTTGTGCAGCAGGCCCAGAGATGGACCAGTCCAAAAACGATTGATAATCTGAAAAGTGTGTAAAATTAGACAAAGACAGTTTTTAAAGTCTTTAGGGTGTGTGAGAAAACTTAAGCCACGGATGTGAAGAAAGCCAAGCTGCTGGAGGAAATAAAAAGGCAAGTAATTCCAGTTAGCAACATAGTGATAAAAGAAATGTTAGGTGTAGTGCACCATTTTCGTCTTGTCAGTGGATAATAAATGCAGTCATAATAGTAAAAATATGAATATAAAAAAGATTTAAAAAAACCAAAATATCAATATAAAAGAGGATATACTACAACTCTATGTGAAGACATGCGTGGAGTGGTGAGAAATATTCTGAACAATAGCTAATATGAAACAGCGCAATTCTCACATTTCATGCTTGTGAGAAAATAGAATCTAAAAATAAAAATTAATAGTGTTATAAGCATGTTATTTAGAAATACGAAAGTAAATACCAAAAGGAACTACCAAAAGATTTCGGAGAAGTTGCCTCTTGAAAAAGGGAATCAGAGAGAGACTCGGCAATAACTTGTTTCTTGTCATAGATCTTATTTGGTCCTTTACACTTATTCATGTATACACTTATTCATGATACAAATAAACACTAAATTTACAGAAAAAAATTGCTATCTCTGCCAATTACTAATTTTTATTTAGACATGTCAAAAAATTCATCTATAATTTGAAGCTTATCATTTTTAAAGTAGTTGTTTTCAAATTCTCAGTTTTAATTGCCAATCATCTCTATGATTGAAGACATAGAAGCTTTAGATTCTAAATTTTTAGTGACTGGGAAAGACTATAGAGAAAGTATTACTTTCTGAAAAGTCTTTTGAAATTTTTCAGTCAAAATGAGAGGGAACCTTTCATTTAAGACTGTCAACCCACATGAAATAAGTTTAAAACAGCACTAACTTATCCAATTAAGTACATCCCCCTTAGAAAATATTTATATGTAAAATTACGTTACCAACCATAAACTATAAGTCTTTTTTCATTTGGATTGGGGAAAGGTAAGTTTTTCACGTGATGTGGAATTTTTTTAAAGTATTGAATTTAAACACTAGCTATTTCACTGACTGACCTAACAAGGGTTACATCTGGCACTCGAAAGAAAAAGGAAGGCCAAGGTGAAAACTAGTCAACTGTAGAATTTACATGTACCCTCAAGATCTACCATACTGCATGTCTTTTCATTCAATTTTGGAGGGATATTGTTAAACAATTCCAACATGTACAATTAAGCATATAAGACAATGTTATTAGAAAAATCCTCTTGACATTAAGCAGACTGAAACACATTTCTGAAATGTTTAGAGAGTCTACATTTATAAAGCTGTGAACATTTCTGAGAAGCTCTTGCATTATCCATTGCCAACCCGGCAAAGGTGGAGCTATAATTTAAAACTTAGTCTGTATATCCTTTTCTTTATTGTAACAATTATAACTATAATTGATCCTTGAGCAACATAGCTCTGAACAGCCTGGATCCATGTATATGTATATTTTTTTCAGTAAATAAATTGAGAAAAATTTTGGAGATTTGCATCAATTTGAAAGATTTACACCATTTTTTGCAGATCTTCACTTTGTATGGAATCAGAACTAAGTCCCAGAATAGCCAGTACAATCTTACCATAATAGGAACAGAGAGGGGGCTATACCAGACTTCATGCTATATTACAACATGCAGAGTACTGGCACAAAAAACAGAGACATAGACCTCTGGATCAAAACAGAGTGCCCAAAGATGAAATCATCCTCATATCCCCATCCAATTTTTGACAAAACAGATAAAAACATACACTGGGGGAAAGAATACCTGTTTAATAAATGATTTGGAAGTAAACCTCCATCAAACTGGGGGAGGGTAAATTCACACCTATCAGGTACAGTGCACACTATCTGGGTAAAGGACACACTTATAACTTTGACTCAATCTGTACAAAAACAAAGTATGTAAACAAAATGTGTACTGATGTAGTAATTTCATAACTACCTCCTGTTGCTTTTGGAGTGAGCTCACATGTTGTGAATATGTACTTTAAAATGCTGTGTAATGCTAATTATCTCCACATGAGCAGTTTGTCCACTAAATTATACATGAAATTGCATATCTCAGTGAACACTAATCTCATGGTTCTCAAGTATTTTTCACTGTTCAGTACAATACCCTAAACCTCAATTAACACCCTGGGACCCATACAACATACTACTGGTGATGCTGAATGTGCTCTTAAGAAGCAAAGAAAAGTCTTGACATTGTAAGGAAAAGCTGAATTGTTTGATATGTACCATAGATCGAGGTCTGCAGCTATAGTTGTCCACCATTGCAGACAGATGATTCATCTCAAAGACAACATAAACTTAACAGTACCAGTAAATACAGTATCATACTACAATTGTATTTTCTCGTCCCTATATTTTTCTTAACATTTTCTTTTCTCTATCTTACTTTATTATGTGTATACAGTATATAACACATAGGACATGCAAAATACATATGTGGTATATATTGACTGTTTATGTTATTGGCAAGGCTTCTTCTAGTCAACAACAGGCTATCAGTAGTTAAATTTAGGTTCAGTCACAAGTGCAGTTATAGGTGACTTTTTCTCTGTGGTGGTCAACACTCCTAACCCCTGAGTTGTTCAAGGGTCAACTGTCCTCTTTGTGCCGGGTAACATACTAAGGATTTGGTAGCCTCCAGTTATCTTTCATTCTTCCCTCCAGGTTCACTTTCTTTTCCATCTTGTTCTGTGCCCTGGAAGACTATCCTGATAGAGTACTTCAGTGGGTTCCCTTGAGCTCTGGCTTCCAGTTATAATTGACCACTGGAATTAGTGAAAGGAGATCACAGGGTAAAAGTGAAATGAGTTAGGAATGGTTTCCCTAGGGCCCTCCTTACTGAGTCACCACAGATTGGCTTCATCCCTCTCTGAAGGCCACAGCTTCTGCCAGGCAGCCCTCTCCTTTGAATTGCCTGTCCAGGCCTAGAGTGCTCCTCCTCCCTGTTGCCTTCTGTGGGATACTATACCATCCTTTGTTGGTATTCCTAAAAACCTGCTATCTTAGTCACTTTGGGCTGCTATAACAAAGTACCATACACTAGATGGCTTATAAACAAGAGAGATTTATTTCTTGCAGTTCTACAGGCTGGAAGTCTGAGATCAGGGTGCCAGCATGGTGAGGTTCTGGTCAGCCCTCTTCCAGATATAGACTTCCAACTTCTCATTCTATCCTCACATAGTGGAAAGAGGGTAAGAGCACTCTCTGGGCTCCTTCTTCTAAGAGCACTAATCCTATCAATACAGGATCTTATTTTCATGACCTAATTGCCTCCAAAGGCCCTACCTCCTAAAACCAACACATGGGAGAGAGGAGGGACACAAACGTTCAGACTACAGTATTATAAATAGTTTGAAGGTCACAGCTTCTGCCAGGCAGCCCTCTCCTTCCAATTCTATTGCCCATAGTATTGTAAATAGAATCCTTTACTCAACTCCCTTTAATCAATAGTTTGTGTGAGTATCGTCTGTCCTAGAAAAAAAATACCCTTATAAATGCATATATATAATCTCATTGATTTATCTAAAAAACCAACTTCAAATATTATCTCTATTTTACAAATGAGTAAACTGAGATTAAGAGAAATAAATCATTTGCTCAAAATCCAACAGTAAAGATTCCAACCCAGGTCTAAATGGCAATTATTCTATCACATGGTCTCTGGAAACATTAATTCAGGCATGAAAATTCATATTCCCATTCCAGAAAGTTCTCA